GAGAGAGAGAGAGAGAGAGAGAGAGAGAGAGAGAGGGCGGGGCGTGTGTGAAGTGGGGTACGGGTACTTGGTTTAAGTGTCTTGGAAATCTGTGTTTGTTTTAGTTTTTAGAACAGTTGAAGGTGGACGGGCCATACTGGGGTAGGTCAGAGCAGGGTGGGGGTCACCGGGGTCACCGGGTCATCGGGGTCATTAGGCCGGCGGGGAGTCTTGTTGTTGTTGGTGGTGGTGATGGTGATGGTGTTGTTGTTGTTGTTGTTGTTGCTATTGTTGTTGTTGTTGTTGTTGATGATGGTGGTGGTGGTGTTGTTGTTGTTGTTGTTGATGGTGTTGTTGTTGTTGTTGTTGTTGTTGTTTTTGATGTTGTCACCTTTCTCCTCCTCATTCTCCTCATTTTCTTCTTTCTCCTCCTTCTCCTTCTCCTCTTCCTCCTTCTCCTTCGTTCATATTGCAACACCCCTCCCCCCAACCCCCCCCCCAAGAGTAAATAAACAAATATTAAACATAACAAACGAACAAAAATATATTACCTACATGTAGATACTCAAAACTCGCCTCAGTTACTTTTGTGCTCGAGGTTGACTGCCCATCCAGTCGACCATCCACCAATTAATTCATTCATCAATCAACCTATCAATCACTCAGCCTATTTATCCATCAAAGTAGAACCAATTAACTTAGTCCACCATCCCTAAGTAATACCAATATATCTACCAACCATTAATCAATTAACTTATCCATTAATCAATCCATCCATCAATGATAGTAAAACCAATCACCCAGTTCTTCATTATGTAATACCAATATATCTACAAAACATTAAACAATCAACTGGCGCTCATATGACCTTATGCAGTTGCGAGCGCCGTAAAACCCTCTACTATATAAAAAAACACCAAACATTCAACCCATACATCAATCAAACCAAAATCAACCCCCTAGTCCATCCGTCTCAAAGTAATACAAGTAGCTTCAAAGAAATCACAATTGTCATGAATATACATGTACTCTCGAATGTGGGTGGTTGGCGGGTGCTCTGGTGTGGTTTGCTTCTTCTTTCCTATCAAACATCTGTCTTCCTTATCTCCCCTTCTTCTTTTTTATGTTTGTTTCTCTTTTGTAACACCTCTAATCTTCTGGCGCTCATATGACCTTAATATGCAGTTTCGAGCGTCGTAAAACCTCCACTAAAACTACTAAAACGAATACTATCGAACCTGTCCTGACAGCCACCTGTATAAGAAGACAATCACATGAACAAACGGCCACTTTTTTGTTTCCTCCTCCCCTGAGGTTTTTAATCATTATAAGACCCCCCCCCCCCCCCCCCGGGGCAGTGCCACTGACTGTAGTGTCTCTTTAGGTCATTCCCAAAGGGGGACATTTCTCGTTCAAGCATAGTAGAATTGTAAATGGGCTTACTGATGTCACGCTCATAACTGTGCCTGATCTACAAAAGGGAACTTCTGCTTTTTCTTTCCTGATCCTTACTATTGTCATTTTCCTCTACTTCTTTTGTATGTTTGTCACTCTCTTGTGACCTGATGTTCTGGGGTGCCTTGATAGTCGAAGCAGACTTTGTGCTGTTGAAGCTAGAGAAGTGAGCTGTCTGATTCCCTGTAAAGACTTCTCTGTTGACATCCAACCCTTGGCGCTCATGTGACCTTACGCAGTTACGAGCGCCGTAAAACCCTCTACTAAAAGATTAAATCATTATAATGATGCTATTCAAGACGTACGTCCGTCTAAGACATCACAATTTCTCCTCGACAATTAGAGGCAATGTTGGAAAATTTTCGACTGAATAATCAACAAGCTTACGAAGGAATCATGACAATGTGTCTCTATTCGTGTTGCGAAGAAGTGGAATCAGGAGCTAGTCTAGTTATGGGCATTTTGGGTTATTGGTATTATCCTAAAGCCTAACATTCATTTGTCTTGCTTTCGATTTAAACAATACGTATCTACCTTGAATAGAAGTCGAGATGTTTGTGATTGAAAAATATGCCAGTCGTCTAGTTTCAGAGATAAATTTGCGAAAAAAAGGTGGCTGAAGTTTGGTGGATTCCTTAGATCAAGATTCCTCGGTAAATACAAAATAATTGTACATTTCTGTGCCTTCAATCAACGATTTAAAAAAAATCCAAATCAAATGATATAGATTTAACGCCACATCAATGATTCAGTAAAGATCCACTGGGGAATGTGTTTTTAAATATATGTAAGAGGTGTTGAGCAAAAAACAACAACAAACAAACAAAAAACAAACAAGCAAAACAAAAATTAAAATCAAAATAAAACAACCAACAATTCCATGAAAATTGCCAAACGGAGAGAAAAATGCTGCTTTTTTCAATTTCATTATTTTGACGATTGCCTGATATCACCACGATGGCTCACATTTTGTTTCCTATTTCTCCATCCAGGCAAAGGTGTGTCCATCCATCAGCTGTCGGCTGCAGTGACCAGCAAAAGCTACTACAACCGCAAGGCCAGTGGTCAGAACACTGACGTCAGCAGCAACTCGGCCGTATCCCAGTCAGTGAGGAAGAACAAGAAGCGGACAGGGGGTGGGGCAGGGGGCGGGACAGGGGGCGGAGTGTCATCTGTCATACCGCGCAATCACAGCGACTCCTCTCTCAAGGCGCTCACTAACACAGGCCACCACACCTCCAGCCAGAGCCAGGGCTCGGGGTCAACGGTCAACTCCTACCCGCCGGGGGAGGGAGGGGGCAGTGGTAGCGGGGGCGGAGGCTCCTCGGGGGTCAGACAGGTCAAGTTTCTCTCCAACGGCTCTCGGGCTCTCTCCTGGAGCGCTACGGACAACAGCGGCTCGCAGTCCAAACTAGAGACCTTGTTCGAAGGACATAACAACCTTCAGGACGGCAACAACAACATCAACAACAACGGCAACAACCACAGCAGCAGCAGCAACAATTTCGGAGGCAGTAACAACAACAGCGGAAGCCACCTCGCCAGCACCATCAACATCAACAACAACAACAACAACAGCAGCAGCAGCAACAGCAACAATAACAAGGGTACTGTAGGTAGCAGTAACGCGAGTGTGGTAGTCGGGGCGGGCGGGAGCAGCCAACACGGCATCAGCGTGTACATAGGTGGCGCCAGTTTCCACGGCAACAACAGCAGCAGCCTCAGCCCCACCGAGCTGCTGCACAACAAGCGCAGCAGCAGCAACAACAGCATCAACAACCTTCAGGGCTTCGGCCGAGACAACAGTTTCGGCGAGATGCCGGCGCTAGTGAATCAACAACAACAACAGCACCATCAGCGGTCCGTTTCCGTCAACGGCCTGCGCAGTAGGGAGGACGCGCAGAGGCTTCGGGCGCTCAATCGGAAGCTGATGAGTGAGTATGGCGACGGGGAAGTGGCTACGGTGGAAGAGTTCTCCACCAAAGGAAAGATGCGGCGCTCCATGTCGGAAAACAAATTGGGTGGAGCCAAACTGGGTCAAGTACCCAACAACCCTCAGAGCCCCACGGGCACTCACAATTACAGACAGACGAAGGGAAGTAACCGCAGCCTGTCTAGAAACCTTTCCGTCGACCGGATAGACCGCCTCACGTCGCAATCGAAAGCCACACGCAAAACGACGATGTCTCCTTCAAAACTCGCTGCCGGCAACACGCAGAAGTTGCGGAGAGTAAGTTCCGTCTCGGCCATAAACTCAGGGAACAACAATACCAACAACAACAACAGCAACAGCAACAACAACAAAATGAGCAGACAGAGACGCAGCAACAACGCCATCAACACGGCTGGTGGCGGGGTAGTAGGTGACGTCATGCCCCCGCCGGAGTCCGCTGATGACGTGTTTGACGTGGACGAGGAGACGTTGGAGGCCAGCAACAGACTGGTGGAGTGGCTGAACGTGGTCAACAATGTGGAAGAGTACGACACGGACCCTAAGGATACGTTTGTAGAGTACGCGGACGAACCTCCCCAGACGGACACAGCCGTCCATTTGGTCTACGGCGGGAACTGACGGATGGCGCTCTCAGATGTTGTGAGATTTCTACACTCTTTGCCGTTGCATGCAGAAGACGTGGGTTCGAGTCTGGAGCGGGAACCGACGAATGGCGCTCTTCGGTGCTCTGATTACTACTACACTCCTCGCCGTTACATGCAGAAGGTGTGAGTTCGAGTCTCGGGCGGGAACTGACGGATGGCGCTCTCTTGTGCTCTGAGATTACTACTACCATCTCCGCCGTTGCGTGCAGAAGGCGTGAGTTCGAGTCTCGGGCGGGAACTGACGGATGGCGCTCTCCTGTGCTCTGAGATTACTACTACCCTCTCCGCCGTTGCATGCAGAAGAGAAGTGGGTTCAAATTTCGAACGGGGATGAAAGGTGCACGAACTTACATATTGAGAAAGACACACACTCACACACACACCTCCCTCCTCGCCACTGCCTGCGACTCGCTAGCCCAACCAACTTGGCAGATCAGTAAGTATCAATGAACTGGTCACCATAATTGTTGTTGGAAGGCCTGGCTTAGTTAGCCTAAGAATGCAGTGCACGAAGAGCCCAAGCTTTCATGACGTCATAGGCGTCCACCGGTGACGCTGTCTACGTGTACACACAAGACGTCCACGGCATAATTATCCAGGCTTCTGACACAATCTTCAGGACGGCAACAATACCGACAACAACAACAACAACAGCAACAACAACGCAACACACTTTCAGCGTGTGTCCTTCCGCCATAATGGCGTCATGTTGCCATCTTCTTCAGAGACTCGTTTTCTCCGTTGCGGTCTCTGTTGACTGAAATATCAAATTACAACATCAAGATATACCTCGTTTTCGCAACTCTTTAACTCCTTTTTTTCCGTTTCCTATACATAACCATAAACTATAATAATATTGTAATACCTTACTGATGTATGAAAATGATGCTGAAAGTGTGAATATATTGTTTCTGTTCGATCAGACGCCAGTGAGTATCTTTCTGTCAGTTTGTTTGTTTGTTTATTTGTTTGATTGTTTGTTTGCTTATTACAAGACCACCAGTCAAAGCCACAATATTATTTTGTTGACTACAGGGTTTGACAGAAGGGATGTTGTTCGTAAAACATTTTTTCTTTGGTCATTGACCGAAGCTATTTTTGGCTTTCTTGGGAGTTACAAAATTGTCTGTCTCACAGTTATTTGCTGACTGAACTCTACGTTTGCTGGGTCAATTGTGCTAGGAGTTCTTTTTTTGTTTGTTTCTAAGGTTGTGTCCTTGGGACAGGCACTTTACACGAATTTCCCCACTTCGCTCGGTCCTTTTCCAAATGGATATTTAACTCGGAATTCCTGCCTTTTGAACAACCTAATAGTGTTGATAGGGGCGTTAAACCTATGCTATTTACCATTTTGTATGTTTTCATTTCGTTTTGAGGGTGTTGTTTTAGTGTGTATGTGGGTTTTTTTTTAGGGGGGCGGGGGGTGACACCACCTTCATAAAAGAAAGCCAGTTCCACAACCGTCAGTGATCTGATATGTAAACACCAGGACAATGACCCCCTGTGCCCCTGTCAGAGATCTGGAAAAGCCCCCCCCCCCCCTCCCCCCACCAACCCCCTCCTCCCACAAACACACAAACACTTTGTTTCCCTTGAGGTCTGTTGATATTGGAGAAAACTGTGACTTCATAAGTCCAGCTCCGGGAGAGAAAATAAATCAGAATTATATAATTGTATTTAAAGCAGTCACTGTGTGGCTTCCACTCCCCCCTGTATACCCCATAACCTCTTGTGTCGTGGCGTCGGTGGCCTAGTGGTTAGGCTACCGGACTCGTAATCGTGAGATTGCGGGATCGGGGGTTCGAGCCCAGCTCGGCCCGACGCTGTGTCCCTGGGAAACTTGACTCGGTCCTTTCAGAGGTGGACGTTAAACTCGGAGGTCCCGCCTCTTAAATAACCTAATAAAGTTGATAGGGGTGTTAAACCTATACCATTTCAACTTTTTGTCACTTCTTGTGTAGTGTACAGTTAGTCCTACTATAATAAATAATATCTCTCGATTCCTTCACAGCTCGTGAAGTCATAAAACAGTATACTCGTCTTGTATAGCCTTCCGCAGTATCTATCCGGAGACGTCTCCGACGGAGATAGACCAATCAAAATGCAGTGTGCCTTTAGACCAAGTAAAAAAACTGCGGGGGGTTACAGGGGGGCAAGCGCCCCCCCCCCCCCCTGTTTTACCCCATAATTTTGTATTTTGCAGTCAAGTTTGAAATTTTATTGAAAATAATTGATTTGCGACCGTTTTAGCGGCTTATGTGTGATCTGCAGCAAATAATACGCAGTTTGACCCCCCAAAAGCAGTGTATCTGTGTGCGGGAGTGCGTCTCCGAATAGTTCCTGGGTACTCGCCGGAGACGTCTCTGATTATCTTTCGCCATAGCCTTCAGCTCTTCCCAGAGACTAACTGGAAAAGCAAAACACACGGAAGAAGAGAGAGAGAAGGCCTGGGGACCAACAAAGAAAAGAGGATAGATAAAAGAATAAGATTACAGTTTGACACTTCGGTACCTAAGAGTTACAACGTTTTATCTGCTCAGTACCTAGTTTTTGGGAGATTTGACGTCAGATATTTCGAGTTTCACAACATGTAAGGCTTTTTCGAATGCAATTCTTTGAATATCTTGATAACTACTCAGAATAATCTTACGATTTTGATTGAGCGGATTAAAAATATTTTAGTTTCAGGCCCTATGGTTTAGTAACTGTAAATGGCCAAACATGTCGCAAAGAAATGTGTCATTCTAAGGTAGCGACTTTGCAAAGGTAAGCTTACTACTTTATACAATTAACAAATCATAGTTCAAAATGTTGTTTGTTTGCATGCTTATTACGAGACCAATCAAACATGATGGGTTTGATTAATGGGGTTGGTGAAAGGGATGTTGTTAATAAAACATTTATTCATTGGTTTTTGACTTACAAGCAAGTAATAGGCAACATATACCCTAAAAATAGAAAGTTTCAACAAAATACTATACAATTAATTGTGAGCCAGAGGGGCGAAATCAAGCTCTCGTCAAAATAATGAAACTGAAGAAAATGGCATTTTCTTTATAATGCGACTAAGAAACCAAGTTTTTCGTGAATTCGCTCTTCCGGGTGTTTTAATTAGTCTACTGGCGTGAGGTTCCCCAACAATATTATTCTCTACTATATTAGGTGAAGCGTGCTGACAAAATGAGTCACTTCTCGAATTCAAGACTTTTGAAAATAGATACTTCGCACGTATATGTGAAGTTTTTACAATTTATGAGCATGAAATAATAAAAGGCATGTTACAGTAGTTAAAGAATATTAGGGTGTTAATTTTTGGCCAATATCTCCATTTGTGGATTGCGAGAAGTATCTCATTTTGCCAGCACATCTCACATAATAATTATCCGCTTATACGATTCTTTAACCCTATCCGTACGTCGTGCTTTACTATCGTATCCATACGACGAGGGGGAACTCTGTGTCAACACTTTCCAAAGAAGAAATAAAATTTACTCGTTAATCCGACCAGTACGCTTTGCATAGCAGTCTGTCAAAATGATTTTTTGAGAAATACAGAATGAAAATTTCAAAGAGATCTTCGTACTAGAAGTATTCTGAAATGTGAAAAATACAACCCCGGGGGTAAAAAGTGACCCCAGGACGTACGGATAGGGTTTGTGACACTCGGGTTCTATACAATCAACCCGTACATATTATACACAATGTATAGAGGTCTGTAC